AAAAAAAAGATAAATATAAATAAAACAAACGGATATTTGATTGAATTGAAGAGACAATGATAAAAATATAAAATAAATTCATTTTTAGAATAATTTTAGAGTAATTTTTTATATTTTTAAAATAAAAACCATAAAGAAACATAACTCTTCTATCATCCATGTTTTTATCTTCTATGTTGTTAAATATTGACTGATGTTACCTACATGTTTAGTTTCAAACCGTTAAAAACAACAAGATATATAGGACAAATATATGATTTTTTTAATTTTAAAATTTAAATTATTAAGTGAAATATTTAGATATCATTTATATTGTTTTTTAATATATTTATTTAAGTGTTAATTTTTTGGATTTGAAACTTATATAAACTTATATTATTTTATATTTAATTTTTATCAAATAAATAAAAATAATAAAATTCATATTCATAACTATTTAATCATTAAAATTCTAATATTATATTAAATAACCATACCAACATCATTTCTTCCACTAAGAAGACACCTTTTGAAATTGTCTAAGGACGTAAGCCCTCCACTTTACTAGCCTATGTTCATCGCACTGCGTGTGGATTCTGTTGACTAGTTTTCACTCGGAAGGAATGTGGTGGTTAAGGATCTCAGAGCTAACTTGAAGATTGTGCAGGAGAGGATGAAGAAATATCATGATGAGAAGCACACAGAGGGGGGTTTCTAAGTAGGTGAATTTGTCTAACTAAAACTACGCCCATATCGCTAGCTTTCCATGGACAGCAGAAAAACCTCAAGTTCAGTCCCAAATTGTCTTTTTCCCATTGAAAATCCTTTCCAAAGATTGGCACAGTTGCATATAAATTCGAGTTACCCCCAGAATCCAAATTACATTTGGGTTTCCATGTTTCTCTCCTAAGAACGAGAATTGTAAATCAAGAGGAAATCTCACCTCCGCTGCCTGACTCGCCAGCTACACCCGCACCTCGCCCTATCCCTCGAGCCATTTTGGAAACTCATAAGAAAGGGGAAGAAAAGGAGGGTCTTGTTCATTGGCAAAATCTCTCCCCTGCTGAGCCCACATGGGAAAGTCTTGCTGAACTTTCAAGCTTGTTAGGCTGCATCGTTTTTTGAAGAAATTGTTGTTAATAAGATCTAAAATGTTCGCAGATTAATAGGTCTCCATGTATACAAATAGAAATGAACTTATTTAAACTGTTTTACATGTAGTAGAGCATGAAAAGAAATATTATAGTGCATAAAACACCATTGTATTATTGGATGCTTTCTCAGCAGTGCGCATGGAAGAGCCTGTGGGTCTGAAAACTTATTCTTTCTGCAGAGGTGAGAATTGTACTGTTTGATTTTTGCCGCTCAACATCCTGCCCCTTCACCCGTTTCTGGTGCAACTCCTTGACCTTCCTTTACTGCCAAACAATTGAATTGATAAATAATGTATTATTATTTAAGAGCTCTGGTAGGGTTTGACTGTTAAACTGTTGTTTTACGGTAACAGATGGTTCACCCTTCCATTAAGCTGTTGCCGTGTTTTGAAGTTTGGAGGCCTCAACTCTCCTGCTTTTACAGACACACCCACACACACCAAATTATTTCTTGACTAGGTCGAATTAAACAGCATAAAAAATTACTTTATCAAAATCCAATGATTTAGCTAATTCAAAAACAACCCGACTAACAGTAAAATATATCTATAGAGATAAAATTGACCTAAGAAAACTTTTAACTTTCTTATTTAAATCAGGTTTAAAATTAAATAGTGAAAAAACTACCCCTACATGATATCAACCGATCCAAGAACCCGGACTAATATTAAAAAAGTTCAAGAAAAAAAATGAGCAAAATTAAGAGGAAACAAAAAAAGAAGAAGAAGAAATGGAAAAAAAGAGAGACTAAGTTTAAAATAATAAAAATAATCACTGTTCATACAATGTTTAGTATAGAAGATAAAATTTCAGTATTTGATTAATTTGCGCTCCTATTTAACATGGAGCCATTGAAGTAGAGTCTAAGGTGGAGGATTTAGAGCTGATCATATGTAAATAAATCAGATTTTTTGGTGCAATATTTGCCACTCAAACCAGAGATCAAACTTTTTCCAAATCACAACAGCCCTTGATAGGGGATTAGAAACTAGAATAAATTTCTAATTCAAGGTTAATTCATATTCTCTAATCCTTCGTATGCAGATCTATATAACACGACCCATGTAAAAGAGGCATTGTTTCAATATACCTAAGCTAGGGTTAACTGTAAAATCAGAAAGTAGCTCTTTGCCTCATCCATTTTGTAGCTGACCACTTCACCCCTGACAGAACCTCACATCCTCCATGTATGCTGCTAGGATCCGACTGGCCATCTAGTCCCTGAATGAAGTAACAACAACAAACTAGCATCAGACAGGCTCTGTATCTACCAAAACATCAGCTAAGCTTCCACTGCAACATTTAAGACCAAAAAACTAATTATTTCGAAGTAAAATTCAACTTTTTTCCTAGAATTTGAGAGCCTAAATGAAAGCGAAATCTCCATGGGGTACCTTTATAACAATCATGTTTATTTAATGAATTACTCAAAGATATGCTCAGCCAATAAACCCTCCCAAAACCAAAACCTGTCTCCCTCTTAAAGAGAGAGATTAACTAAATATGTTCCAGGAATTGCAGGGCAGAAAGGATTTTTAGGCTTTCAGAATGGATCATTTAAGCATTTCTGGGATTTCAGTCCAGTCTGTATGTCTTCAATGAGACCCTTCATAGCAGGGAGAGGCTAAATTTTGATAGGAGCAATAGGAGACACGCAACAAGAGAATGCTAAGCAGGACTTCCAATCACTACTAGCACATCTTAGGTCGCATGCGCTGTTGGGTTAAGAAAATGGGGGTGAATTATTACAAGAGAAATTCTTATGGATGTAAAAGTGGTTTTTAAGGATGCCTATTCATACACTGAAGTGTTTAGGAGAGAAAATAACTAAATTATTAATAATGATTGGTGAGAGATGATTATAAATTATTTAGTGTGTACTTTTGAGGGGGGGAATATAACCTAAGTAGAATTTCAAACCATTCAGAAGATCTAAATCCTCTTAATGAACAAAAAAAATTGACAAACGAAGCAAAAACATGCCCCACTCAAGACAGTTTTTACTTTTTACACTTCCAAACATCGTCAATTTATTACTCCTGAAAACCTTATTTTCCTTACACAAACTCAATGGAGAGGTTTCGTATAAAATTCTGCAGGTACGGAATTTTAACAAGTAGGGTTTAGAAACAGACCATGCTCCAGAAAAGAACTGCATTTCCTTTGATAGGTTTTACACATAACCCATCCACAACTTTTCCGCCACAGCTGCATTTACCTGAACCAGCCTGCAATCACTCATAGGTGCAACCACCCATGCAATGCTAAGTTTTAACTCATGATAAAACAATTAAACATAGTAACTGTCATGTCAAGATATAATTTTAAACATGTGATTTGCAGTTAGAAGCACAGGTAATCAACCAATCACAATATGAACAGCAATTTTGTTAGTTTTCACAGTATAAACAGCAGTGCCTGTTAGGATGATATAGCAAAAAGTTAACTGTTGAATACAGTAGTATATCTTGACAAGTTCTTCAATTTGCAGGCCACCTAATGGCGGTCTAAACACAATGGATGCACATGGAATGGTCCAAAAATCTCAATAGTTTAAGCATTTATTCTGGAGAGAGATGGAGACACTCCCAAGTATACTATGTTTGCTCATAAGCATCCTAGCCATAGCCAATGGGAACTGAGGCACTGCACTTTGTGCATTCTAAAGACGATGAATCCCAATGAGTTCAATACTACCAGGGGACTGCAACTGGTCAATGCAACAGATGGAAATCTTTATACTAAAATGAAAAATAACCTTGTTTATTCCACACAAACTCAATGACTCTTAGAGCAAATAAGCCATGTACCACCGGGTTTCATCCTACTTAGATATCCCCTATCATAGATAAACTTATCATCAAAACAAAATCAATCAAGGGCATCCACATCTTGCAAAAATCATTTAAAGGCATTCCTTGTATGCCTCCTAAAGTAGAGCAGCTGAAGGAAATCTAATAGATCATCAAGCCCCATGTTCTTTCTATTAAATTACCTCAAAAACAGTGTTTATTGCAATTGTTAACTGGATTAGTGTGTTATTAAACTGCATTCAATTGATCAATTCATCCCTTCCTTGCAATAATGACGAACTTGCAAAATTAAAAACATGAGCTAACATGCAAAGATATAGATTGCAGTAATACAGAAGTGGATTATCCATATGATGTAAGCATGTAATGCCAGAAGTTTTAAATTCCATGGTCCAAAAATATTGCCTGGGGTATCTAGGCATCTGCTGACTGATAGGCAACCAATTATCTACAAGGATTTCCTGGTATTAAACCAAACATTCTGAAATCTAAAGACTTCTCTTCTTTCTCAATTG